TTAGATTAAATCACAGGCACCATTGAACCCAGGGCATGATTTGTGACTGTCATATACCTTTGGTTTAAATTTATTTGGATTGTGTTGCATTTTCAATTGTTGCAGGTTTGTAGCCATGGACGAAAACTGTCACTAAAACCTTCAGTGACAGTTTTGTCCGTAGGTAAAAGATGGGCACCTAAAACAACAGTCCCGAGGAAAGAGACGATTACGTGGCTGACTCCCACTGGCCCATTTGAATTCACGCGCGTGTTTTGGGCATGAAGCATTATTTCCATTATATTATTATTTTGTCATGTATATCAATGAATGACAAGTTGGCCCGGTGGTAGGGAGGAACGTATGAGAGGTGAGAGTCTTGGGTTCGAGACCCAGGTTTGGCATTTTTATTTTCTAACAATCTGATTGCAGATCCGGTGTGTCTCACCTTCTCAACACCTGGTACGCGCCCAGATCCCTCCATTGGATCATCATCATCACAGTTCCAACGCTCAGCATATGCAGGTCCACCATAAATCCTCAAAAGATGGTCTTATTGGATCAGGCGCCAGACTCTGGGCCATCATTCTGGGCCCGTTACAAATTTGGCAATGCACCCCCCTGGAATGCTAACTGCATCAGGCCCATTTCATTTTTCTTTCTATTTTTATTTATTTGTTATTTGTTATTTTAATTATTTTCACAACAAAAATCATTTTTTAATTAAATCATAAAGCTAGTGGTAGGCTACAAATAAGTGAACTTTAGGTAATAAAGTAACTAGTTATCTCTCAAACAGCGGTTACGCCTTTTCCTAATGCCCTTACTAAACCACCAACCGCAGTTATTCCGCAAAAAGCGGATAAGGCGCATCTATCTAATAGCGGATGATTTTCGGCAACTTCGGAGTGATTCCGCCCCGCCTGAGAAAGAAAGAATACATTCCTCACGTCTGCACAGGCCTATGGGCTTTAGCAAGCCCCTTTCCAGTCATGGAGTATCATTTCAAAAATTAAAGGCATATCACCGTCAGCGCGCTGTCGAAAAAAGATCAGTAGGATGATATAGGAGCATACCACAATAAGGATATTTTTGTACACCTAGGCAGTGAGCTGGATAATATGGTAGAAATGGAAAGGGATAACGGCGGATAGTGAGCTGGATCCCCGAGGTCGCTTGGGAGAATATTCTTGCTCCTGAGGATCATTATTTGATTTCATGGAATCTAAGGTTCTGAAATAACGTAGGAAGTGGTTAACTTTGTTTACTCACTCGTTAGAGGAAGTGAACGGTTGGCTCGAAGAGGGAAGAGATGCGCCGGGTCTTTCTCTTTGAATGGCGGAGAGAAATGGTAACAAGTCAATAGACTTTCCTACAAACCATACTTTTATAAATCATACAGGATAGGGGAAAACTTCACTTCCTTCCTTGTCGTCAACCGACCTATAGTCGCTGAGATAGTATTGGTTCTATTCATCTGACCGTACTTCCATTCGGTGTTAAAGCTGCGGAGCTCGAGGGATGTCTTTAAAAAAGTCAAGTTTTTTCTTTTTTTAGACGCGGTCGAAAGAATACCTGAGAGAAGGATGGGCACTTCTAATAGTAGGCGTAGGCCCGTCGCCCTAAAAATCATACATGTGATTAATAAGAATAATTTTATGAGTGTCCCCGCCCTTCTTCCCGTACAGAGTCTGTCAAACTCAGTTGTCTTAAACGACATTGGCGCGGTACTCTGATCTGATCTACTCATATCAGGGTATGCCACTCGTGGTCAGAGGAGAGCCTGGAGGAGAATGGGAAAAGCTTTTAGTTCGCCTTCATTCCATAGCTACTTATTACCTCAGATCCCTTCTCCTTTGAGAACTACCACTCAAGACTGTTGGATCACTCATCAATGTCATCAGCTTAAAATTATGGCTTTGGGGAAGTTGGGAAAGCAATAGGATAGTTTTCGCTCGACCAAGCAGTCGTTTCACTCAACTAAACCAGTCTTAGTAGTAGCCTAGCCTAATCTTGAGATTTCCCTTCCTTTCCATGGGCTATAGGAGCGGTTTCTAGCTTTACTTCGACAGAAAGGGTAGAGATCGAAAGAATTGAACTAGACCAGATCGAAAAACCTGATTCTTTTACAGCTGCAGGAATATAGGTTACTGCAGAAAAGCAATCCATCCGGTAATGCAGGAAAGGCAAGGAAAGTTGTCCCGGAGTGGAACCGTGAAATAAAATATCTATCATCACCGGTAGGGAAAGGAGTCATTCAAATAAAGAAGTCACAAAAAGAAAGAATAAGGATCCAGATAAAGAGAAGAATCGGGTTTAGCGGTAATGGCATAAGCCAAAGCTAGATCAGTGGAGTTTAGGGAAATGGGTACGAGAGAAAAAGGTTTTGAAATGCATATTTCGAAACCAGATAATCAACCGAAGGAGATTCCCCTGCAAAAAGGAGATGGCTCTAGTTTCATACTCATCTTCTATTTTCGAGATTCCGGCATCCCAAGGAGAGAAGCGGCTCAAAGGATTGGCAATTCAGCTCAGTCTGGTCTGAGGAGATGGGCTAGGCTAATCTCCCCATACATAGGAAGAGGGGGAAGTCAAGTACCTAGGTCCAAGATCACGATATCCGGTTTGGTGGTGAGGAAGGGCATAAAAGAAAGCACCAAAGCAAACAAAGTAGATTCTTTGTTGAGTCAACTGGCAACTGGGATTGCAGCGGATCTAGTGGTTCTCCTATTCTATGGTCTTGCTGCTGAGAGAGAGTAAGAATAGAAAGAAGAAGCTCGCCTGAGAGAAAGACAAGGGATGATTCTTATAAGATAAGAACTTGCGAAAGGAATGAAAAGGTATTCGACTAAGACGGGGACGGGTATTCCCGAAGATGCTTGACCTTAAAGATAGAGACGAGAACGAGAATAAGAAAATAAGATATTGGAGAGGAAAGAAGCAGTGCGAGTAGAGTAGGGGAGATAGGTCAAAGAAAGATAGTACTGAAAGGGGGAGAACTATTGAGTAGGGGGATAACCCCAACCCCAGAAAAGGAAGAGCTTAAGTTCTTTTAAAGACTTATTTCCAGTTATCTTTAGTAGAGACATTAGGGGGGAAAACATTCTCATAAAGAAATAATAGCACCATAGTACTTACTATAGGGCGGAGCTCCCTGCTTAAGCTGAAAACCGCTGACTTGCTTGAAGAGCAGTAACTAGCTTACTTGAAAGAGAAAGAATTGAAAGGCAAGGCCTCTTTAGTAGCACCAGACAAAGCATTATTCTGAAGCAAAGCCAGGAAATGTCAAAGACGCTCAACTAAGCAAAACAGTTGCAGAGTCTCATTCAAAGAGCTGATGTTGCAGTAAAGACAAAAGAGAGTTCTGAGTTCACAACGTTCGAAGATGCTCTTAGATAGGAGCTTTGGTACGAGACGAAAGGGAGAGGGATAGGGCGGAAAGGCAACCTCTCTGCTAAAGCAGGAATAAGCTCCACCGGCTAGAGGGACGAGAGAGATGTTATTTGAACGACAGAATGGACGGGCACAGACAAAATGAATCTCCCGACAGGAGCATCAATGCCTTATTAGAATTAGAAAAGCAGATCAGGAGTTAAAGAGAGTTTTTGTTTTAAAAGAGAATCACACCTTCCTTTCTGGTTTTGCCCTTGCTTTAATGCACCCGATTCCTTACCTTGAAAAAGGACGATTTGGCTTTGAAAGGAATTCCTCTCGCATTGCGGCTAAAGGAAGAATTGTTTTTGAATAAGCTATTTGAAGGAATTGAATCCATAGTAGAACTACACCCATGCACAAGTTAATCCTTGAAGAGCGGGTAGGCATAGAATCAGACGGCGGAGGAAGCTCTTACTGCTCGAGAAGGGGCTATGAGACTGATGTTTGTTCTCGCATCCGCAATCTAAAGGGAAGGGGCAAGGAGTAGTTTAAATAGAACTAAGAAAAAGTGATTCAACGTATCCGGTCTCGCTTTCCATTTCCCTTACTAGCCAGACTAGACTCCCGATTGCCTGCCCGGGATAAAGAAATCGGCTACTCTTTCTCCGCCAAGGAGAAGGATTAGTTGCTATTTATGTCTCTGCCATTCTAGCAATAGGAGATAGTTAACTTTCAATCTACCTGTCCCAATCGGCATCCTAGAAGATCCCCAGCTAGGCAAGAGAGAGAGATCGACTAGCAACTTCTTTAAGTCAACTGCTATGCCTATCTCTTATCTTTCACCAAGTATATCCTATAGAATGAGTTGCTTATTCTATCTGTCAGCTAGACAAGTAGAAGCTATGATTGGAAGCTAGCAGTATAGACTTGTTTCCTATTGGATTAAGCTAATCTAACTCGGAAATTTTGCTTAACACATGCAAGTCGTAGAACTACTTTACTCCTTGAGTCTAGATCTCCGATTCTAATCCTGCTTTAGTGCAACTTTTACTTGACTGTTGCATCGAGAAAGGTGTGGCCCCAAAAGTGCTTTTTCGGAGATAGCGAAAGAAGAGAAAGTAGTTTCTCCAAAAGTTTGTTTATTTCCTAAAGCAAACCCGAAGCCCCTTTGGATTAAAAACTTAGACTTTGAAACCAACCCTCATTCTCTTATTGTGCAGGCAAAGGCCTGGGCGAGCGAGTTAGGGTTAGATTAGAGGGAGGGGGACCGGTCTTTCTTTATAGGACAAGGCAAAGACATATGGCTATTTCCCGGGGAGAGAAGCCACGCTTTTCTCTTGATGGTAATTTCAAAACGAAAAAAGGGTATAAGAACTGTTCTTGGAAGGCTTTGTCCCCGGTCTTCTTCTCCTAACTTTAATTCCATTCTTTGAGAAGGACGGCCAGCCCACAAGAGAAGAGGCTTATCCATGTAAAAAAACACAATAGACGAGCTCAGAAGACCTTGCCTTTGAGGCTAATTCGAAGAAAAAGATTTCGGAATAGTCCAACCGGGTGAACCAATTCTTATCCTTCTTCTTGTCCATCTTTGTAGAGACGAAAGGGAATCGAAGCACTCCCTTCGTTCTTTGATCGACGGTCTTTCTATGGGAATATGCTTTCTCGTCTTCTTTCGAAGCTTAAGGCCTTTCGATTATTTGAATGAAGGTACAAAAGATAAGGCTTACCCCTTGCTCAAGTAAGTACCCCGACGGTCCAATGAATTGCCACACACCCATTCATGTGCTAGGGGATAGACTATTGATCTGACTCTCATGGTCAATCAGTTTCAAGCTTGAAGGTAAGTGCAGTTATCCCTCCTTCATCCTGTCTTATTGCACGGGAATTCGACGCATCAACTATGGCCATTCCCTCCTCCAATACGGCTTATTCATCTGCACCTTCTATGGAATATTGTTAAAAATTCCATTTCCTTTCCTTGCTCTTACCCTTAGTCAACTACGCTACTAAGATTAACAACACTGTAAGCAGGTTTACGGTAGAGAGAACGAGTAAAACATGGGGAAACAATGAATTACAAGCAAATGCAAGAGGAATAGGGTTATACCGAGCGAAAAGCAAGGTATAATAAGGAAAAACAAATTATAAGAGTTAAGGTTTTAATGAGGTGTTTTCGCGGATCTGGGAAGCGCTGGTTCGAATCCAGCTCGTGACAAGACCAAAGGTTATTTACCCCTCCTATAATTCTGGAAACAGCTCTACGACCCAGAGGTTAGCGATTGCAACTAGCGTTGGTACGAGGGGAGAGGGAAGACTACTTGGAGCCTTACTGAACCAACAACATATAATTGCGTATATAACACAGACACATAATCTTAATCTGATTTGGAATGAAAGCTCTGATAGTTGAGACATAAATCTAGGGCCAATGAGTGCTACGGTAGTGCCTTGCTGGCTCTAAGCCTACCTCCTTGCTACACGATTATTCAAGCTAAAAAAGATGAATTCTCCGAAAGGGACCTATCTTAGTTTAATTATGTCCATCGATCGAAAAAATGAAGGACATAAGAGTAAAGTGTGTTCCAGAGTGTCAACTTTACAATTATAATACAAAAGGGTGGAACCTTGATACCCCTAAAGTCTAGAGAGGGCGGTGAAGCTTTGGTAGAAAGGTAAGATAAATCCGCTTCCTAAGTCACTCAAGTATGACTTTGGTTAAGTAAATTGACTCCATCTTCATCAATAGCCGACGGTAGGCATAATTTGCGTGATTAAAGTCTTTCGTGCATCACCTCAGTGATGCTCTTCGCAAGATCTTTTTTAAAAGTTGCTAGAACTATTTCCTTATATTATTAAAGGGTCTCGTTCTGCCATTTTTCAAGGTGTAAAAAGTCTTATCTAGCTAGATCCTAAGATCTCGATCCACGACTTAGTAATCCGCAAACACTTCATACGAAGCCGAATCCTGCTGAATCAGGAGAATCCACTGATCCAGGTAGGTGAGGGAATTCAGAAGACCGGTTTACTAAGCTTTTTCAGCAGGACAAAAAAGTGGAATCGACTTCTATTTATGCCTTTTTTTCTTGCATCGTTCAGAGCGCCAGCCAAATGCATGACCCAGTGGTGGTCTTCTTCTACCTCAGTGATGTACATCATGTGCTCATCTATCAGGGAATTCTTCTCGAATAAAACCACGAATCACCAGAACATAGATGGAAGAGTTCCGTTCCCGACGATTCTAATCTTTAAGAATCTTATGTCGAACTGAGATCCAGTCAAATTGACAACAGAGAAAGCTTTTCTAGGCAGGATTATTTTGAATGAATAAAGAAGAAAAGTTCTCACCTATCTCAAAAGGCGTTAAATGCTGCTTTGAAGGTCGATGGGGACTTTCCTACGGCTCGTTCTCGGATTTACCCTTGTTGAGAAAAATCTGCCATAGTCTCAGAGCTGAGATAATGGACTGCTTTCCTCTAAGACTATGTGGTATCAGAGCGATTCGAGATCAATCAGAGGTGTGCCTGTGAGTGTGGGAGACTCGTTAAAAGAAACTATTAAAGATGCTTGCTCCGTCAGTGTCAGACTGACGAGTTGGCCGTAGAGGATACGGCCTTCCAGGAAGATCGGCTTTGGTGCCTCTTATCAAAATCAAAATCAAACTTCCCTCGGGCAACTATCTTTCTTAGTGCTACCCTATGGTCCACCACGTGATGAATCATGAGGGTGAGTTACCAGCGACCGTATGATTTGTGGTACTCCTTGGATAAGTTTGGAACTGGGACCTGCACGAGGAGCCCTGGGGTTATGAGCCACTCCCGACACCTCCATTAGGAAGAAGAGGTCTTGCAGCAGCGGTAGCATATGTCGGAGGTTTGGAAGAAAGTATGAACGGGCTTTGCCCCCCTATTGGGGTACCTTCTCATCCCGATTCTGCCTTTGGAGATATCTGAAAAGGTCATTTTCAAGTTTAGTTTTCTTACTGATTCGGCTCGCTACCTATAGAGCTTGGTGTCTTAATAGAGCAGCATCGTTACCAGATTGTTTTATATAAGGGGAATTGGCTTGAAGAGAAAGAAAGGCAGCCGGCTCGTAAACTCGTCTCTATAATAGAAAAGGGCAAAGAAGAAGAGGGAAAGAGTGTAATGGGGACAATCTAAGGAAGACACTAGAGCTATGGAAGATAAAGAAAGAACGAAAGGAAAATGGAGTACTTGCCTTGGTTGTCAGAAGGAAAGTACTGTCCAGTCTTGAACTAATCAACTACTCTACTCAACTCAGCAAGCAAAATACAAAGAAATCAAGTAAACAAACCCTATAGTAAATACAGTACATTCCAAAAAGGCTAAATCCCTCTAACCGAAAAGTCAGTGCCGAAGTATTTAAGTTCCAACCGAAGTAAGAAGACCTCGAGGCGGAGAAGAGGAGTGAAAGCCACTCGCCCTACTCATACAAGTCAAGGAGAGGAGCGATGTAATTGAGCTCGTATTTATATAGAAATATCAGCTTAACTGGGAAAATGCAGAATCATCATAGGTAAGAAGCACAACACCATGTTCCCTCTTTCCTGTCGCAACTAGTCCCGTGAGCTAGGTCCACGATTTCTACTTCTCTCGTCTCTAGAAAAGGAAAAAAAAACGATTCTATATGGTTAGTCACTTCGGGCTAGTTTTTGGGGATTATGAATGGAAGGAAATCCCCTCTCCAAGTGTGTGACTCTTTATGGGAAAATCCCGTCCTATGGTCCTGAACAAACGTTCCATCCTGAAAAGAAAGATCATCTCTTACTGGGAACGAGAGATCTAATACAAAAAACAACAAAGACCTGAACTAGCAGCTCGCTCAATGCGCATTGAAAGCCATTATAATGAATGCCCTTTTTTAGAATCTTTGAATTGAACTTAGCCCTCTTCCTATCCTAAACCCCTAGAATCATAAGAAACAATTGATGGTTGATCCGACAATTCTATTAAGTAATTAGTTAGTCTATCAAGCTGAAACTAGGACTTAGGAAGACTCCAGGAGGGAACCCCTTTTAGGGTACTCCATCGAATGGACCTATACTCTACTCTTGGAAGTCTGGTTTGCGAGCTTGACTCCTGTGACTTGCTCGAATAAAGAAAAGCGTATTCGATAAAGTAGGTTTTTTCGCAGATAGAAGGAGGGCTATTCCCGCACCAGATCAGTACCAAAAAAATAATGAATAAAAAAAGTATTCTAATTTCGCTCTTTATCCTTAGGAAGGCGAGGAACTACTAAAGGATACAACTTTTAAGGCTTGTTGAAAGAACAGGTATTCCTACAGGTTTTGTTTTCATGGCTAGAAAAAGGGGGAAAAACCCACATTGAAGGACTTAGCAATAGCAAAAAAGATGCTAAATAAAGGAAACGAAATATCTAGTTTATCAAAGCATGCTGACTTGAACTTGCTTTCTCATACGAGAACAAAGCACTTTCACTGGCTGTTAGCTTTCCTTTCTCACTTATGATTCGGGGGAGCACTACAAAAAATGTAAGGCTGGCAATTGCCACTATAACTAAACTGGCTTTAACAACTGAAGTCCCAAGAATCTTTCCCATGGCTTTCCTTGTTAGCCTAAGATCCATCCTTTAAAAAGCGATTGTTGTTACGGGACTTTGAAATAAGTCACTTACTTTTGGTGTAAGAGACAGAGACAGGGGCTTAAGCTATCTTAGACAGATAAACCCGCTGGTTCCTCTCAAGCTAAGATGCCTTCAATTTATATACGGGCTTACTTTCAACTCTGGTCTCATCAGTATTATAGACCGAAGGTTGTTGTCTTAGAAAGGATGCAACTAAGCCGCTTGAGAAAGTAGATAGAGAGAAGGGAGTGTTGATCTGGCAGTTTCAACACAGGTTCCTCTGTTATGGCTCGCTTGAGCCCAACTGGTTCGCATGGACAGGAAACTGGAAATAGGATATGCTTCTTAACTGGTCTTGTTCAAAGTGAAACTATTTCAAGATCTTTTCAATCAGTTTTTTGATTCGTGTAAGATTCTTGGTACAATTTTCCTGCTTGCTAATCAATAAAAACCAAGAGTTGTAATAAGGTGGTAAATAAGGTCAGAACTGCCAGGTTCCCTGTAGGAAAGGGCGTAACCCCACTCTAAAAGTAGTTCGATTCCCGGTTGAAAAAGCTCTTCACAATAGGAGCAAAAAGAAGAACTGTCAAGGTTGTCGGCATATCTGCACCCGGCTCAGCTCAAGGTGCAATCCAAGCAAAGTGAGAAGAGCAGGCGAAAGCAAGGTGCAAAGCACTAGTGAAATCCTCAAGGCAACGAGTTATGAGCTCCTAACGGGTAGGAAAATAGAGAATAGAAGAAGCTGCAATTGCTCCTGTTGAATGGGTTTCAGTTGGAAGAGGGGGCATTAGCGGTTTAGGAATCGATCTAGCTACTTCTCCTAGAGATGGAGATGCGGCATAACCGTATGAACCGTACTCATCTGATTCTTCTTCTTCCTCTCCTAAATCTCATTAATTTCAATTCCGTTCCATTTGCATTTGGTTATGTTTATGGTTATCCACGCCATGATGTACTGGAATTCCTCATAAATGAAGCATCTGAATGCATTTCCCTTCTTGACTCCGAACAACATGCTCTATTAGAGAAGAGTTGCTTTACGCCCTTGTTTTGAGTTCTCTTCTCGCTCTTCACTGGTCTCCCCGAACTCAGAAGGTGTGATTTTGGAAGCTGTTGCCTTTGACTAGTGTTTTTAAAAGGTAGCTTATCCGAGTTAACTCAAGAGCTGGCTCTGCCGTGCCATAAGCAACGTATATTCTGGTTAATTTAACTTTATTTAGTCCTTTTACCTACCTGGCCCTCATCCTTTGGTTGCCTGTCTAGCCACTCCTTTCTTTAGTATTCGAGGTGGGCTCTTAAAAGAGCTCCTTCGGCAGCGCCGTACGTGACACTCATTCTTATCCTTATTTCTTTGTATTC